CCCAGAGAAATGCTTTTAAAACATAAATTATGCCACTCCCTTCTCAAAACCCTACAGTGACTCCCTGTCACACTCAGAGTAGAAGCCAAACTCCTTGCAACAGCGCACAAGGCCCTACTTGATGAGTACCCATCCCCCACCCCTGACCATACATGCCCCACAGATGCCCCACAGATGCCCCACAGACCGTACATTCCCACCCCCAGATACACACCCACTTTCCCTATCTGGGGTCACCTTCTCCAGTCCTTAGGCTCATAACTATGTTCCTGTTCCTACTGATTTTCATTATTATTTTTCTTATTTTTAAAGGCTTATTTTATTTTCATTTGACAGAGAGGAGAGAGAGAAGTATCAATCAGTTGCCTCCCTCATGCTCCCCAATTGGGGATCAAATCTGCAACCTGGGTATGTGCCCTGATTGGGATTCGAACCTGTGACCTTTTGGTTATGAGATAATGTTCCAACCAACTGAGCCACACTGGCCAGGGCTCCTTCTACTGATTCTCAATTCCTCCTTGCCTTTATATCCTCTGCTGGAAGACCCTCCCCAGTTAAATGCATGGCTCTTTCCTCACTTCGACTACTTCCCTATCACCTTAATGGGAGCCTTCCCTGACCACTCTATTTAACATGGTCATCTCCACCCCCCCAAAACCCTGACCCTGTTTGTTTTTCTTAATATCATTTACTACCATTAGCACAAGTACATCATAGTCTCATATATATATACACACACACACATATGCAGATGAAATCTGCATATCATCCCTCTAGAAATAAAAAAGGACCAAGGAGCAACCGTATGAGGAAGGCGAGGACAGCTTATTCATAGCATACTATAGCAAGGGAGTCAGAGCCGTCACTTGCATTTTAGCAGAGACTCAAAGTTGGGCAGAGGTGTGGAAAAGCTTTATCTTGAAAAAAAAGGAAGGCTGCAGGTGTGCCTGGATGGGAGGCTATTGGCACAGGGAAGCTGTAGGCAGGGTAAGTAGGATGGGTCACCCAATGTGATTGGTTATGGGTGCATATTTAACTTTCTCTGGTCAGTCCTAAGTCGGAAGCAGGGTCAAAAGTTAGAGATGCTCTTAATTACATTAATTAAGTCCTGTCCATTTGGGGCTGGTTGTTACAGAAGTGATATTCAGCTTCCTGGAAAGTGGATTGGTCTCCTGCACAGGTTGCTACAGGTTGTAGGTCAGAGTTCTACTTTTACATAGTCTGGCCATTGTCCATTTGTATATTCAGTGTCTCATCCCTCACTAGGGTATATACACTAAGAACATTCTTTTATTTATTGTGGGATCCCCAGAACCTAGAACCATGCCTGGTCTAGTCGGCACTCAGTAACTTCTGTTGTTGATTATCATAATGTTTGTCTGGCTCTGGTTAGAAACACTGTGACTCTGCTACATGACCTGAGTAGAAAACAATGACAACTGTGCTTCATTCAATCCCATTCTACAAATGTCTGTTGAGCACTTGCTATATACTCAGGAGGCCCTGTATTGGGTTGTGGTTATTCACTCCAGGTTACACGGGACAAGCATGGTGGAAAATGGATGGAAGACCAGAATTCTGCATGCTTTAGTCTTTGCTCAAAATTTCTCTTCTCTCCCCCTTTGAACTCATCTCTACCTTTAAGTTCCCGCTCTCAGTTCCCAAGTCTCCCATTATACATTCAGAGACTGGTCTGGCCCACATCTACTTTCCTCAGCACTCTCTACCTATGAAACTCATTTTGTTCTCATAAAATGCCTGTGTTGTAGCTGGTTGTCTTGTTAGTGAGCCAGTTCTCTTCTCAGTTGGATTATTCCCTTTGAACAAGAGTTGCATCTCGTACCTAATACAGGTGACACATAGAAGGGCCTCGGTGACCTTTTCCCTGAGCTCCAGATGCAAGGTTTCACTGATCTCAGGATACTTGCATCTTCCATGCACGGAAATCACGCCTTCTTCAGAGCTGCCATCCAAAGGTGTCTAAACAGGACGCTAGCCTGAAAACATGAGGCTGGGGCCCCTACTCGAGCATCTCAACTATTTCCTGACGAGGACTCCCCATTAAGTTTTTAAAAAATATGTAAATGGTTCTGAATTATCTGGTCTTTCAGAAAGGAGATTCCAGGTTTTGGTTAATTTACCTTTTGGATAGAACACTCAAGGAACCAAGAGATAAATAGGCTAGAATGGAACTAGAAATAGAACCTTTGGGGATGGCTTATGAGCAAGCTGCATCCAGCTGTAGCAGACAAAATGTAAGCTCCTCAAGGGAAGGGGTTTGAGCTGCTGTTTACTAAAGAGTCAACACCTGGCACGCAGTACATGCTCCACAAATATTTATTGAATGAATGGGAGGTATAAACACACACATGAAGTTCGAAAGGAGAAACGCTACATTTTAATAGTGATCATTTTCTATATTCACTCATTTTGTTGCTTTAACTTTCTCAGCCATTGCAAAACATATATCATAAAAAGGCAAACAATAGAACCACAGGTGTGAAAGGGGGCTCCGAGGAGCGAAAGAGTCATTGCCCAGATTCTGTTACCGAGCCACATGTGATTTTAAGACAGGCAGAGGTGTGGTCCCTGGTTCCTGCCTCCTACTAAGCACAACAGAAAGCTCAAACTTGAGAATTCACCATGTGGTTTTAAATTCCTCAATAAGTAGGGATCCCTCTGTGGTCTAATCCGTGAACATCTTTGCCCCGATTTTATAATGACTCAAAATCAGTCAGGTCAACATTAGCTACAATAAATTTGTTCATGTGTAAGCCCTTGGGAAAGAAATGGGGGGAAACTTTCACAAGATCCACAGCGGTCCCTGGCTTCATTTCATTCAGATTACTTTTTTCCCTAAACCCAGTAAATGTTAGAAACCAATGGCCTCGACCCTGGACCTCACACTTCTGATTTCTACTAATAACATAGTCAAATATACAAAAGAAAAGGCAGAGTTTCTCTTGGCCAAAGCCTGCTGGTGCAACCCTGACCTCATGTCTTGAGCTCCTCAGGGTTTACAGATTGGGGCCGGGCAGACAAGCAGCTCCTCCTGCCTATCGCCAAGGAGGAAAGTGAGCTCTTCAAGCAGAGCACAGCCTTCAGGAAATCCCTCCCTGTTCTTAACTTAAATCTCTTTTTCTGGCCGAGAAGCACAATTCCCTCTAGCCCTGTCATCACTGAAGAAGGGAAAACAGCTGCTCACCGCCCTTCTTCTAATCATCCTTAATGGGCTCATAAACAGTTATTAGGTCCCCCTTCAGCCTTCTAGGAGCCTCATTTTACTTGCATCGAGGCTGAGAGCTTCTGAGGAAGGTGTTTTACTCAGGGCTCCACAGACTTTCGGAGTTTTAAATGGGTAATCAACCACTTCACCCACTTGAACCTCCACAAATGAACAGCTCTGCCTTCTTCTGTAAAATTTAAACTTATTCAAGGGAGTTCCCTGGCAACCAACCCTTACTGATAAATCATTGCCTGCTCTAGGCCAGGACAGGACATATTTAAAATGTTTCTTTTTCTTGAGAAGTCACACTGGTGCACAGGCACACAAGAAACTAGCAGCTGCTCCCTTAAGTTCTGCATTTGCAGGATGGATCCTGTCTGCCCCCTACAGGCCATTGTGGGGAGTTCTTATCTGGCTCCTCAACTGGGAAGGGGCTGTTGCTCCTAATAGACTCTCACCTGGTCCTATCTTGTAGCTAATTGGACTAATGCCTCAGCAACTGGGGAGTAGAACATGGAAGTAAAACAAAGATTGCTCATTCTCCACTAGGCACACGCTGAGAAGTTCTGCTTCCTATCCCATCATGGTATGGTTTATTTTCAGTTCACTGCTCACACCCAGTTGTATGGTTAATAGAACTTTGCATGGTGTCCTTACCTGACTCCTGCAGTTCCCTCCAATCTCAGGAGGCAGGGGAGGAGCAGGGCAGAGAGGTTGTTAGGTTGGTTTTTGGCTTTAAGAAAAAGAGTGACTTTATTTCAAGAAAAAATTTAATCCAGATGGCTATAATTAAAAGGACCGACAACACCAAGTGTTGACAAGGAAGGAAAACAATCAGAACTCTCAGTCACTGCTGGTGGAAGTGTAGAGTGGAGCCATCAACTTTGGAATTCTCAGCAGATTCCAGCAATGGTCCTAACAAGTCCGCTCCTAGGAATATGCTCCAAGGAAACACATGCTTATGCTCACCAGAAGCCATGCACGAGAAAGTTCATAGCACTGGAATTTCTAATAGTGAAAAACTTAAAGCAGCCACCACAGCAGTGAAGAGACCTGGCCTGCTGATGTGCAGGACGACATGGATGAATCTCACAGATGTGATACGCTGAGCAAAAGAAGACAGATACAGAAGAGCACATCTGTGTGATTCCATTTATATGAAATTCAAAGAGGCAAAACTCAACGGTGATGACAAAGATCATCCTGCCTCTGGGAGGAGTCTATTATCGAGCTGAATAGCTTAGGTCTATGAACATTATTAAATATAAGTTATACGGCAATAAAAAATAAAAGAAGGTATTTATCGATTTCTTCCTCTCAGAAGAATAACATTATTTATTCATCTATTTTTTTCACTGCATGGCTTCATTTGAATAAGATTTAAGGTGACTTACAAAGGTGTATGGTGTTGAACTATATTTACAAGTGAAGAATTCTAAGCAATACTAAAATGAAGGCAGAAAAATAAGAAGACGTCAGATCTGCAGGTGCTCCTCAGCATTAATGTCAGGAAGTTCTGTGTTCTTTCTAGGGATGAATGAAGGGAGCTTCCTAACGGTCAACAGAAAAGAAACACAACAACTCTGCACCCAAAAGTTAACAGTTCATGTAATCAGAAGCACAGATACCTGAGAGAAATTTCTCCTGTGCTGTCTCAGAAAAAGGCAGCTGTGCACCCAAACCCCTTTGTGCCATTTCAAACATCCCATTTGGGACCCTTGATCTCCAAGTCCCTTCAGGCCACATTTTCACACCTATGGCCCCTCATTTGCCCTCAGAAAATTTAGGGTGAGGCAGCATCCCACAGGCAGTCAAGGTTCCTCCCTGGTGCTCTTCCGTGGGGCCTGCAAGCAGACACTGTTTACTCTGCTGGGTGTGGTTTGTGAGAAGCCCTGCTTGTGAGGGCTGGGTCTCTGTTCTTCGGGGCACCTGGCTTGCCATCCTGGGGCCTGGACCCTGGGCCTGCATCCTCAGCCTGTGCAGTGCCACGCAGCCCATTTCCCTCCTTGTCAGTGCTCCTCGGTGGCCCAGTCTCTTCGGCAGACAGAGCTCTGGTAGGGGCGGCTCCCTGGGGGCTGGACCCTTTCCACTTTGGCATTTGCATTAAGGGATCCTTCCACTTTCTGGCTCCACTTTTAGAGTTGAATTCATATTTTGCCCCAGTGACTAAAGAGGAAAAATACAATGACCATGTAAACAAAGGAATTCAATTGATACTCTCCTCCCCATCTCCACCCTGCTCTGTCCTCACCCCAGGAGAAGAAGAAGCATGTTAGGCGGTGTGAATCGCGGAGAGAGAAAGCATGCTTGCGAACAGTGCAGTCATCACTAGCCTGCTCTTCCTGCGAGCTGTGCCCCTCTGACCACACATGTAGCAAATACCATGCCTCCGTGGATAGAAAGGTTCAGGAGAGTCAAGGCCATCTCGTCTCAGCTGCAAGATTAGAAGTCCACGTACATCTGGAACTCCACAGGAGCTTCGGATAAATTAGGTTCACTTTCTATTGGGGTTACCCATTTCATTCTGATTTGTTTTAAAAGACCTCTGAATCCCTGCTATTAAAAGGAAGTCACCAAGGAAGGAGGAGAAGACTTTGACTTTTACTTATGGTAGGTTGGCGAAGATTTGTAGACACAGACACCCAAATCGGGTCCCAGTTGAGATGATGCAACAGAGCCATTTTTATTGTGTCAGAGCCAGCAGACGCCAACTGAAGTGTCTGTTCATATTAGTCCAGTTGGCCCATTTCTTCTTTTTCTTTTTCTCAAACACACAAGTGCAGAGTCATGGCCTTGGTGCTCCCTAGCTCTTACCTCGGAGTTTCAGGCGGACCCCTGCTCCTGCCATTTCCCTGCAACATGAGTGGCCTCTCCGCTGAGGATCCTACCAGCACTTATGCTAATGTGGGCACATTATGGTAACAAGTGCCTAATAATAGAGGGAAATTTAATTCCAGCAGCAGCAGCAGCCTCTCCTGGAGAGGAGCCATCCTCCTTCCGAGGAGGACCAAGCCGCTTGCATGTGAGCGTGGCAGGGAGCCAGCACACTTGCCTCCTGAATTTGGTTTCCTTCTCTTTATTCATGTTCTATAATTGAGCCTTTGTAAGTGGAGGGATGTGTGTAAAGGAGCTAAATTTGGAGCTGATTTCATGGGGGTGATGAGAGCTCTGGAGGCCAGCTTTACCTTATGTTCATCTTGCCAACCAAGAAGAAATTCTTGGCCCTGATCTAGGAAAAAAAGAAGCCAAGCTTGCCATTTCTCCGTATCTCTCACTACCAAATAGGATGGTGTTGGAAGCATTCAGAAAGGATCAGGGTGGGGGTTGAATCCCATCAATAGGGAGAAAATGTGGGTTCTTGTATTCATTGATTTCCTTGAATTGGTTTGTGGTTTGGAAAGGGAGGCTAGACGGAGGCACGGTCCTTGAAAAGGAGCCTGGAGGTGGGAACCCTCTGAGGCCTCACACACGACCACAAGGATCTGCAAGCCAGCTCAGTTCAGAGCTGATCTCACTTTGTATTGTTGTCTAGAATGGCACACACTGCATAGGAAACATAACCAAACGAATCAGAACTGAGTTAAGAGCATGAAATTAGATAAGGTCCCCACGGTTCCACCAGCCTGCAATGTGCAAAGCACCCTTATGGGTGGCATTGTCACTTAATTACCTGGGTCTATGACTTCACCATCAAAGACTGTACTCATCTGGATTGTTTCCTAAGGAGAAAAAAGAGACAACTTCAAGCACAATCCTATGCTCCTCCTCACAGGCCCCACTCACCTTCACAGCCTGAGTTTCTGACCCAGGGACTTCTTGGCATTTATTAACTCAATAGGCAGTGTGCCAGATGCTGGGGACATAGCAGGGAACAAGGTTAAGAGTGGCTACTGCCCACACAGAGCTTGCCATCAAGTAGAAGCCACTGACAGACAGACACTACAATGTAGAGTGATAATAGCTCCATGAGCGGGGTGCGGCGGGGGGACAGGATATAGGATGCCGTGGAGGTGCGGGTGGGAGTGAGAGGAAGACATGTCATCCAGACTTGGGGGTAGGAAAAGTGTACTGAGACCAGGATATCTAAGCTGCACAGAAGGAAGAGCAGAAATCTGCACACCACCAGCTAAGCTCTGTATTGCCTAAGCCCACTGTTGGGCAGGCACAGAGGAGCACAAATGTGCTCCCACCCTGAGCTCTGGCTGTGTCCCTCTGCCTAGGCCAGTGTGATGTTGCATCAGGGTCTGGCTGTCTTATCTAAGCTCTGTGTTCCATCTCCTTTTCTTGCCCTGATCCCTATTCTCTGCCACACTCCAAGACCTGACCTCTGGCCACATGGAAACACCCGCTTCCTTCACAATGTGCCTTCCAATGGTGCCACTCTTCAGCATGCTAATGAGGACAGTGTTGGGATTTAGTGGACCCTTCAACACCCAGATTTTATCACATAAGTCATCACTCACTCACTTGTCCATAGCTCCCCAGCCCTGAAGAAAAAGGAAATGGAGACTGTACGGGTTTCATCCCTTTGATCAGCTCAGGAAACCCACTTTTTATGGTCATGGAAATTTATTTATTTAATTGATTAACTTAATATTACATAATTCTGAGGCAGTCTCTAAATGAGGGGTACTTGCTTTAGACAATAAGACCTCCTCCTCTCATTTGTATACTGACCAGTACATATAAACACTTAGTTGGTCCGCCTGAAGCAAACATTCCAGTCCGCTGGATTGTCTTCCTGATTGTGCTTTTCATTCCCCAAAGTTACGGGTCTTGGATCATGACTAAGTCCTATTATTGGGGGGAGGGAGAGCTGGCGGGGGTCACCTTCAAATACCATCACTCTCCAGTGGGTGGATCACACTCAGTAAAAGAAAAACAAGGAAGTAAGGTGGGAGTAACTCTCCAGCCATCACACTTTGCATTTTGTGTGACTCTTAATATTTTTCAAAATATCTCTCCACCTGTTATTCTCAGGACAGGTGTTCTCACTCCCATCTCACAGATGAGGACTCGGAAGCTTAAAGAGGATGATAGAACCTGCAAGGTCATCTGGCTACGTGGGCAGAAGCAATCCCAGCCCCAAGCACTGCTCTTTCTCTATCACTTTTTCCACAAGGTTATGGAAGGGCAAAGGAAAAATAAATCCCATTGAAGGCTAAAGCTTTAGTTCTGGTCTTTAAGCTCCTCTCCTCCAACTCAGTCTCCTGGAGAGCTTGTGTAGATAATAAATACCACTATTCAATATTTATGAAATCCAGTTCTTTGGCAAATATATCAGTAGACATGTTCAGTGGAGGGAACAAATTCTATCAGGAGCTCGTCACACAGCAATCTGTTCCAGTGGCCAAATACAAGCATCTCCCTGAATGATAAACGCACCCGGGAGGCGGTGGCAGGGCCTGCCTCAGAGGGGTACAGGAGCTCCCACAGCTCGCCACCCAAGCCGGGCGTCCCACGGCCAGCCGTACTTACCGCAACTTCTCCCTCTGTATTCTTCACTTCTGCAGGGAATAGAACAGGCGGGAGTTAAGCTTCTTGGACATTAAATTGACCTTAAAATGCTACCTCCACAATGGGATTTCTCTTAAACAGATTTTGAAGTCAGTATGTCAGGCACGGCAAAAAAATTTTCTGTCTGTAGACATGTTTGTTGACAGCTTTCCATCTCAGAAAAACAGACATATACACACACGTACGCAGAACTAAAAATAAGTTTTTTTCTGTTCTTTTTCCAGCTTACTGTTATTATTGGATGTAGGAAATTAGTTTTTAAATGACAGAAAGATTGGGTTAATATATTTGTTCATAATGGGGGGATTCTTTGTATCCACTCCCGATGCCCTTTTAAAAAACTTACTAGGGTGGGGGACAGTTTGTGAAAATCTCATTTATTAAAATCATCCTATTTGATATGATTAGTAACCATTATAATTAAATTTCTAATCCTGCTTAGATGTGCCTTGTGCATGTCAGACACATATACCTATGACTGGAGTGACTGAAACAATCATTTTTTAAAAACACACATTCTGATTCTTTGTGTTTTCTCTCCCCATAGTGTGGATTCTCCTCAAGGCAACAACTTTGGGTGCTGGGTGCGACATCTCCTCAGGCTTGGAGTTGGTCAGATGGAGTTTGTTCAATTCACCAACCTCCCTAAAATCATTCAGTTCTCCGAGCCCGCCTGACAGCACCCAGCCCCCGAGTCTAACCAGACTGACCTAAATAACTTGTGAAATAGTCAAATCCACTAGAATATCAGGATAAAGTATTACTTGTTCTTTAAAAAGAGGCATCTGTCCAAAAACAGAGCATTAGCCAGCCTCAGGAGGGGTCACATCCCTCTGTGTGGAACAGAGAGTAGATACTAGCTGTTCAACACACAGAGAATTTTTCATTCCTGTCCCACTTGGTGGGGAACAGACTAATAGGTGCTTAAGTTGAGCTGATTAGAGGCGACTCTGGGTAGGAAACAGGAAGGACCAAACTGAGCAATTTGAGTGGGTCAATGGCACCGTGCACCCTGACGTTCCTTTTCCCCAGCTACACCTGCCCTCAGTGTCATTCCACCCATGGATGATGTAGCTAAAACCCCACCAAGACAGGACTGCATCCTGATTCTCTGCCAAGTTCAAGTCCTTTCATACAGTACAACAGAGTGAGCAAAAATGGTAATAACAACAATAGCAACAGCAACAAACAAAGGGAATAGGTACCATACGTACCTCCTTTCTTCACCCTATGGGAAGAAAAAAGAGATGGACAAGAATTAACCTGAGAGCAGTCTTCACTCGTACACTCAAGACAACATGGGAGCCTTTGGGCAGCTGTGTTCCCTGGGATTCAAGAGGTGATTGAAAAGGGTCAAGGATGGGGACTAGATTGAAAGTTGGGCCCCCACTCCTGCTCCAAACAGAGTGGTTTCATCACTCTTGGTTTGGGACTAAGGAGGGTCTGAGAGTTTGATAAATTGGGAATATTGCTTTATAGAACTTCAGGGAATACATCTTCTCTGACAAACCTGGATGAGGCCATAACAACCTCAGTCAGACTGCCTAACAATTCTGCCTGCCCCATTTTTCTCCCTAGAATCTAGCTGAGCAGAAGGTTTAGCTCACAGCAGGAAGGTTCAAGGGCTAGCCATTAAACCCTGGTTTCCTGTAGCATAAAGAGCTGTGCTTGGACTCTAAGACCCTTTCCATGATAACCTTGAATTCTATAATACTGTGACTCTAACTTTATTCTATTTTGCTATTGAGCAAATGTTGGCTGCCATTTGGTAAAACTAATGACCAGAGAGACGAGGTCTGAGTCTGAATTACTAGCTAGTTTTTCTTTTTTAAGTCAACCATGTTGAAAAAGATTAATATTTAGAAAATAAGTTAAAGCAAAGAGGTTCAAGATGCATATTTAACATTTAACCATAAATTGTATTTAAGTTGCAACATCTATTAGAGGACTGACTTTCTTGAAAAACTTCTGCCCAAATCCCATTACAGAGTACCACCATCCTTACAAGCTTAAGCATCACTCTTTTGGAGCCAAATTTTTAAAATCAATTTGTGAGTAGAGTCCAAACAAAAATGCCTTTTTTAATTTCAGCAGATGCTCAGGGATTTCTTACCTTGAAGCCAAGGTTGCCAATAGCAACGAACTTCCCCAATAAATATGGCAAAATGCAAAGTATATATTTATGCTAATGCCTTATAGTTTTATACTGTCCTTCATCTACAGATTTTAAATTATTTGTTAGTACTAGTTAATCTTCAAAATATCTTTAAAAGGCACATGAGTCTCATTACCCCTTCTTTTCGCCCATGAGAAATTTTAAAACTCAAGCTCCAATACCCCAAGATTCTTGGGCTGATAGCTAAACTGAGAATCTAGAATCCTGAGCTCAATGAGCCATGAAAAGTATTGCAACAAGATTTTTAAAAATTGCCTATCTAAGCATTCATATCAGAAACAATGCTAAGTGCTTTCTTTGCATTTGTTCATTTAGTTGTTTAGTTTTCAAATAAGGACATTGAGATTTACAGAGGTCGAAAGCCATATACCTAGAAAATGGTAGAGCTATGATTTGAACCCAGGCCTTGTCTAACTCCAAAGCCCAAGCTCAGAACCATCATGCTGTCATTGTAAGAGCTCCTGAAACTCAAGAAACTGGCTCTGGGGGAAGCTTGTAACAATTTAGTGCTCTCTTCACATCACTCTAGTATTTCACTTTAGCCAGTAAAAGGGACTTCGCAGGGTGTCACAGTAAGTGGCACGTTAGTGAGCAGAAGAGAATGGGAGGGAGAGAACACAGGGCTGTGCTTACAGCCCTGGAGAGTGAGAGATCAGGGCCAGATGCAAAAGGACAAGCCCAATCTAATCACTGGAGCTCAATTTCCTTATCAGTTTTGTGGGCTTCCTCTAATTCCATCCCATCCTTTAAATATTCTGCAAATAAGAACACCATGTATTCTAACACTACTCACAACTGAGCTTTTTTCTGAAGCGTGTATTCAGAGCAAGTCACCAAGAGTCTGAAGCCCCAGTTTCTTTGAGAACACATCAAAGATAGGGCAGGTGCCGAGGAAAACCAAAGCGTCAGTTTCCTGACACAGAAGGTGATAAAAAGGATACACCAGGACTAAGGGGAGCTAGGATTCTTTCTCCATATGTCCTTTTCCTCCCTTCACATCAAGTACCCTCTCTACCCCATAAAGAAATCCTAAATCTCTACCTTTCCTTCTACTGACATCACTGGAAATAGTGTCCCAAAGGAAGTGGTGGAAAGGACCCAGCCCACTGGAAACTTACAGAGGTTTCTTGTGCTTCCCAGTCTTGCAGGGACAGTGTCTGTGGATGGCTTTGGCCAACTGGACCATCAGAGTCACCAGGAAAATCAGAAGCAATATGGAGCCCAAAGTAATGACAAAAGACACGTACCACGCTGATGGAGAATAAACGTTTTTCCTCAGGATCTGGTGGGTGACCCTGGGCTTGAATGACAGAGAGGGAGGCAGGTGAGCGGCGGACGGTGGGGTCCTGACGTCAGCACTCCCCCTATGTTGAGTGTGTATTTCACTCTTTGTTTTTGTTCTATAAATTGGACATCTGTGTGCTCATAGTTCTTGCTGCTTCAATCCATCACCTTATTTATAGCCTTTCCAGACTTCTATTAGATCAAAACCCAGAAAATTAAGGGAACTGAAAAGCAACTCCAGGCCTAATTTTCTCTGTCTTTCTTCTCCTTCCCAAAAGTTAAAAAATTCCATTGGCTTTTTTTTCCTGCCAAATCATGGCATAACCCAGGGACTAATATAGCCATTGTCTCTCACTGGGAAGGCATGAGCCATGGAAGTTGTTTTTGTAACATTTTGCAGGTTTGTCAGTGTTCACTCACTACAAGCTGCACTGCCAGATGAGTGGGCTGATATCACAGTGAAACCCGAAGTTCAGCATTTGCTTCTTAACGTGGGAGACAGATAAACAAGTTATGGAGATTCCAGGAGTGGAGATGCCACAATTGGGTCATGTTGTAAGCCCCAGAAAAGTAGCAATTCCTTACTCAGAGGAGCTTACTGTCTCTGAGTACAAAGAAAACCCTTAAGGTTACCTCATGCCTCCATTCACTGGGGTGAGAGTGGCTCAGGAACATGGAGATGAACATTAATCTGCTCTTGGTAAGACTTTGAGAAGCAAAATTTGACTATCTGTCATAGATGGTTTTCTGAGGCTTTGATTACCTTTTCTCGGGTGTACTACAAGTATGGGGCTGCCAACCAAGGGCATAACTTTTACTAGGAACAGGAGGAAAGGGGACAAAAAGTCAACACAAGTACAAGCCAGTTCTTCCACGGCCCAGGGGGAGATAATCCCGTTGTCAGATTACAGAATCTCCCTTCTGTAATCTCCCTTCTATAACAACACTCGTTCTGTGTTGGCACCCACTTATTTTTCTTCCTATCATTTACCACAATTTGTAGTTATTTTATTAAATCACATGCCTTTATTAAATTGCATGTATTGTAACCTGTCACCCCTCTAAATCGGTGGCTCTCAAACTTTAGCACACATCAGAGCCTCCTGGAAGCCTTGTTAAGAACACAGATTGCTGGGTCCCACTGCAGAGTTCCTGATTTGTTAGGTCTGGAGATGTAGTTGGGGATTCCAGTTTCCAACCTCCTTTCCGTGAGGTTGCAGTGATGATCGTGGCTGAGGTATAACTCTAATATTCTGGAATGGGCCCGAGAATATGCATAACTAACAAATTTACAGGTGATGCACACTTTGAGAACTACTGCCCCACATTATAAGTTTCATGAGAGCAAAGATCATTTTGGGCTTGTTCACCAAAATGATTGGCATATTATAGATATTAAGTCAATATTTGTAGATTGCATGAATGAATTTTAATGGAATGAAGATGAGGAGTAGGGTACAGGTTGGTGCGTCATAACTCTTCAGAAGAAGAGTGCCTGGCGGCTACCTGCTTTCACAGACATAGCTCTGCCATAGCTCTTAAGAGTGGGCTGAGAAGGGGTTGTGGATGTAGCAACTGGCCACGTGCTCATGGAAATTGTCTCCTGTGCCACAAGAACCACAACTAGCCAATACCCCATCTAACACAAAGTTCCTACATAAATGCACACCTGTAGTTGCCAGAAGAGGAAATGGCAGAACCATTAACTTACCAGTCTCAGGTCTCACCCAGATCTCTATCTACTGCCCAGTGACTACTCAAACCATGCCTATGTTTGCCATTTCTGGCAATATCCTAACACCTCAACTCTTTTCAGTCTATCCAACATTTCTCCTGGGTCGAAGGGCTCCATGATATTAATCACAAGAATGTAACCGAGGAGTCCAGGTCCCAAAACCCTTACCCTGGTGGTCATGGCGACAATCGTGGTTGGGTGAGGAATGACACTAATACTCAGTGTCACAGTTCCTGTTTCAACCAGAGCCTCAGCTTTCTTCCTGCCAGACAGCAAGTTGTCATCAGTTATGTAGACAAGTAGTCTGTAGTCCCAGATCTTATCAAGCCCACCAGTATAGTCAAAGTGGGTCGCAAGGAGCAGCCGTGTAACGTTGGAGCCAGCATTGGGAGAAAAGGTGAAATGACTGTTGACATTGCCTATAAGAGATTTGAGACAAGGATTTGGGGCAAAGTAAGAAAAGGATGTGAGAAATAAAGGTCTAGAATAAAACAGTCTTTTCTGCAAACGTCCATACCTCTGGTGTAGACTATTTCTGATGCACCGGGGTTACAATATTGACCTTAGCTGCACCAGAAATTTCATTAGTATAAAGAAACTCTGCTCACAACCAGCGTTGCTGCAACAAGAATAAGAGCAGAATAGGATAACAGCACACCTGTCTCAGCAGCAGGGCCAGTACCTTGCAGAGAGATTTAATAACCCTGGTGCAGCCTCTCTAGCCAGTCCTTCTCATGCAGCATTTATTTCGAACCATGTACACCTTGTACTCAAACCAATAAGTGGGCACAAGAGGGTAGAGGACACTTCATGTTTTTTGTGGAAGCTGGTGGGTCATGCAGAGCTAGTGATATTTGTCCCTGGTGTTCCCCCCCAGGGAAGGTGCCTTCTGGCTTTGCAGGGATTACAGTCCCAGAGCCTCCTGAATCTACCCCATTCCCCCTCCCCCGCAGCCTGTTAGGGCTCAGGGCTCACAGCTCAGGGAACAGGGCAGGAAGGCTTCAGGAAGGCTGCCCGCCAAGCAGCTCTTGCTCATTCCTCTGGTGGCTCCAGACTCATTACCGACTGAAAACTAGTAAATGGAGCAGGAGATGATGCAATTTTTACTCCCTTAGCAGTGAAGTGCTCCATAAAGGCCTGGGGGTTCTCAGTATGGATTATTTCCATCTTCAACAACTGCAGTCTCAGAGCGGTCTCTGCCCCTGGTTTTGTGACACAGGCTACTCAAGAGGCTTCCTACTGTTCAGAGTTCATGGTCGCCAGGGCTCAGCGGGCGGCCAAGATGGGTTTTTAGTCTTTCACTTGGAATTGCTCTGCTTGTTTGGGTTTAAATCTCTGGCCCCAACACTACATTAGACGAGCTATTTTGGTCTCATTTCCATGGAGGGGTGCTCTTTCCCTCTCCACCCTCCTCTCGCCCCCGTGCAATGTTATATTTTTAAAGAGAGAAAATGAATGGAGCAGAAGAGAATTCCTGAGGATACATTTCAAAATGCATTTAATCTAATTAATCTATTATTATCCAGAGAGAGGACTGGGATTCCTTGCTCCCACTATAAGCTTGCAGGTTGAGCAATTGGATTTAAAAAAAAAAAATTAAACTGCAGTAATATGATTCACGAATCATACAACAGCATGGAAATTAGGGGGTCACCATCTGCATGGTCCACCCTCCCTTGGGCCTATGGGCAGCCTTGTGTGGGAACCTGGGAGGAGTTAGGTGAGAAGAAGGAGAAGCCGCGAGGAGGATGGCGGGGTGGCGGGCCCTGGGACAGTTGCACTCCTCATCTTGCCATCCTCATTTATAGTCTCCCACCCACACACACTACACCAAGATCAGGTGTGATCGCACTCCCCACCCCATTCTCCCTGACCAGCAGTGAGGCCTCCGACCCCACGAGCCAGGCCAGACCTGTCGATGTCAGGTGAGGTACCTGGGCCAATGGAGTAACGAAAGGACCTGGGGCTGGAATCACGATCAGTACACATCAGCTTGAAATTTTGAATATTTGTGCCAACTTTCAGATCCACTGGGATGGCCAGGAAATAAGAGTTTGGGATGCAAATTGGCTTTTCATCATTTTCTTCCAGGATATTAATAGTAACCTAGAACAGCAAGAAGGTGGCCATTGTTAGTAGCTAAAAGTTGCAGAGTGCTTACTGAGCCAGGCCCTGGGCTCAGCACTTTCATGGTCTAGCTCATTTAACCTTTCCTGGGATAGATAATATGATCATTCTCATTTTACAAATGAGGAAACTGAGGCTTAGATTAGACAATTGACCTAAGGCCATTTAGCTGGTGAGTGCCAGAACTGGGATTTGAATACAGGTCTGTCCTACTCCAAGTCCTATGCTAATAACTTCTACACTGTGTGTGTGCACATGTGCTTAATACATGTATACATTCACATAGTCTCACATATATGCACCTAGACATATAGGGCTCATCCTCAGGTAATGCTGACTTGCTTTTCCAGTAACAGCTATGAATTTACTGTGGCCCTCTATGCTTCCTTGCTCACTGCCCTTGGGAATTGGAAGCTGCATATTTAACTATAGAGCAATGATTCTCAGTCCTGGCTCTCCCATCTTAGGCACACTCCAGACCAAATGAATTGGACTCCCTGCAGGGTGGGGCCCAGGTACTATTTTTTATTGTTCCCCAGCTGATTCTAATAGGCAACTAGGGTCAAGAACCATTGGGATGGAACAAGTGGACCTGGCTAAGCTGGGATCTCATCTGCAACCTGGGCTATTAGAATGCACTAAGCTGGTGGTGCTCACCTTTCACAAGCAGGGCCAGCCTATTCTCTTTCATCGCTGTCTTTTATGCCTGGTGAATTGGAATATGGACTGGGACACCTGCCAGCACAGAATCATAGAATGTCAGCCCTGAAAGGGACTTATGTGATCATCACCCTTTTTAAAAGCTTATGAATTTTGAGTTGAATTTATTCTACCTTTGAAATTTGGCGATTTCAGCAATTTCTGAGCCCAGGAATAAATTGAAATGTTCACTCTAGTTAGCTCCCAAAGTGGAGTCCATTCATTTTCTCAAAAAGCCAGCCTAACAAACACTACAATTATCTCCAACTTAACATATCTCTTCCTCAGCAGGCAATGCTGAGCCTCACGCATCATTAAAACCATCATCCTGTTAATTCAAAGCAAGTCATGAGAGGAACTGGACTAGTCAGGTGTTGGGTGAACAGGTGACTCTTCATTTAAGAGATCAAGAAATTGGGACGTGAAGATAAGCATGGCTCAGACCCCGTTGGAAAATTGGGATTAAAGTTGAGAAATGAACTCTGTCTTCTGATTCTGAACCAGTCTTTCTCTCTATCACACAGGGCTGCCTGCTGCTAGCTGAGAGTTCATTTTGCCTTACGCTTTTTCGCTTTACTAATGGGAAAGAGCAAGAAATAGTTCTGTCCTTGTGGCCATCATATTACCCTCAGATAATCCTAACCACTGAAAGCACAGACCTGTTAAACCTTGTTATTCAAAGGGTGGCCCTGGACCAGTTGTAGGGGTACCACTTGGAAGCGTGTTAGGAATGCCTCGGCTCTGCTCAGACCAGCGGACTCAGAATCTACATTTAACCAGATTCTCAACATCAAAGGTTGAGAAGCAGTATAGCCCCAGTCAAGCCACATCATTTTAAGAACAACCCCATCTGGTGTGATGGGAGGAGGGAATGCATAGCAACAAAACCACACCCCATTTCTGGCTGCGTGCATCTCACCATCAGCCCAGGGAGATTTAAAGGGCAACAAGGGGACACTTGTCCCACAGAGTGGTCATCAATCTCAGCACTCCTCCCAGTCACACACACACTTGGGTATCAGTCTTTATTTTCTGGGCACTGCTCTGCGTGTCCAGTTGTGCTGTCCTGAGTAACACTAGTCATTTCCTGTCACATCTGGAGGATGTGCCCTGTTAGGATTTCTTATTACTACAGCCACACCTGGAGGGAGCTGGAGGGACTGACTCACTCACATTGACTGCGTTTGTGTCCTCATTGTTGGTGGCCTGGATTCTGAGAGTATAGATGGGGGTTGTTTCATAGTCCACTTTAGTCACCAGCTTGAGTTCTCCCGTTTTGGGATTAATCCAAAATATGTTTGTGTACTGGAGGCTGGCCCCTCCGGTAGAGATGGAGTACACAATGCTGCTCTGGGGGAAGTCGTTGTCCGTGGCTCGCACCCTTCCAAACAGGGTTCCAGCTGGAAGAATAAAGTACCTTAGATTAGTCCTGCTTTGGGGGTTGCAGGGAAGATCCAGGAGCAGATATTCTCTCTGCCATGGGCAGAAAGGCTTTGGAGGCCCCCTTGCTGTTCCAACTCTTTGTTTTATATCATCAGTTCTATTAAATTCAAATTTTGCTAATGAACTCCCACTAGGTCACTGATCCTATGACCCAAGCTGTACTGCGAGGTGGAAGAGACAATTCATGCCTTTATATAGACTCCCATGATGTCAATCATTATGCTATCATAAACAACACTGCAAAGAACATTCTCACACATACATCTTTTTGTAGCAACGTTTTCTAAAAATCTTTTTTTTGTATTTTTCACATTTTCTATAATGAGCATGAATTGCTCTTATACATTAGATGAAAAATAAACAATTTTTAAGAGTTTAGCAATTGAGGATTACAGAGTATAGATTTTTTTAAATTTAATCATTTTTTATTTTTTAATTAGTTGACATACTATATTATATTGGTTTCAAGTGCACATGCCAGTGATTAGACATTATATTACAGAGTATAGATTTTTTAATACTGCTTTTTTATTTTACAAATCTTGGTGGTGGGGCTGCTGGAGTTCTGGCTCGCTTGTTTTGTGGAAGACCTTTTTCATAAATTATACTCCTCAAGGACAGAAACCTTCTATGTAACCCCAGCACTAAAAGCTTGACTCAAAGTAGGTGATCAATAACCGTAAGTTCTTTGAATTTATAAAAAGCTTATTCCTACTGCATTTGTTATTCACTGGGTAAAGGATAAAGAATTAAAAGCTTTTCCTTTAGACCCTCTTTTGGCGTTTTGTTTAAAACTTAATGTCAGGAAATAGAGACCCTCCTAAAGAGAGAATAAAATGGAGAGGAGATAATTTTAGGAGTGTTTTGGTTTGGGTTTTTTGTTTGTTTATTTTAAATATAGAAGTATCCATGATAAAAGGATCAAAAACTGTGGTGAAGTTTGATTATACTGGAGGTGATAGGACTGCTTCCAAACTGGAGGAGATGGGGAGAAACTGACCCTGGAAGTGGGGAGTCCTTTGTTTAAAGGGGAAGAGCCTGCAAAAATCCAGGCTCTTCCTGGAAGAGCAAAAAAAAAAAAGCATTACCATTCTTCCTGAAGGGCAAAAAGAAAGAGGCCCCCAGTGACTCCTATTAAGGGAGAGAAAATGTCTTTATTCTGTTTTTAAATGGAGGAACTCTAGAAAGGGGAAAACTTTTTTCTATTTTTAAATTTCAATTCTCTGAATGAGCTGGATAAAAATCACAGTGGAGACCAAGGGAAAACTCCGGCTACGACAGCAGAGGATTAGGGGAATCAGGCACACGGACAAGGCAGTGACCAGGTGTTCAGAGAAATGCCGTTTAAACAACAGTTTTCAAAACCTAGAGTTCACCTGAAGGGCTCCTCAGCAGTGAGGACAATTTAAAGAGAAATAAGAGATGCAATAAACACGATTCAGCTGTGAGTTGTGGTGCACAACACCACTTAGGGCATCTGGAAGGGAGCTTCTCCTCTGCTGAATGTGCATCTGGATGGAGTCTGTCAAGAGCACTGTGGCCTGTTTCTTGTCTATTACTTACCTGGCCTTATTTCTGATATGTCAAATTTATAGGACGGCTGATCAAAGACAAGAGGAAACTCATTTTCTGGGCTTGTTAGGATATAAATATAGATGTTATCTAAAAACAGAAATAGGAAAAATTTAAATCTCAATATTCTATTTTCATTCACTTGTTTATTAAAAATTTTTAAAACATCTTCTGTGTAACAGGTTCTGTGCAAAATATTGGGGATACAAAGTGAATTAAGATCTGGCAGTTCCTGCCTTTGAGATGCTGAGGGCAAGTTGCCTTCTGAAGAACATATGTACAGGTCACTGAGAAAGCCAGAAGCAGTGAGTCTCACAAAGGTAAACAGAGCTGGATAATGAGAGGAGGGGGAAATGTGGGGGTGCGATTCTAGGCATGTGCATGGATACCAAAATATAAAACTCAGAAAATCCGAAGGCTGTTTGACCTAGTTAGAAAAAAAATGGGGTTAGAAGTAAGCGACTGGAGCTGGAGCTAGAGTTAGGCAGGGGCTGGATGATGAAAGTCCTTGTGTGCCAAGCCAAAGAGTTTGATCTTCAACTTGACAGTTAAAGGGAGACACTCAAGGGCTTTAAGCAAGGAAGTAATATGGTGGCATTTGCATTTCCTAAAAATCACTGTCAGAAATGCAGAGAATGCTTTGGAAAGGGGCAAGACTAGTGTCAGACAGATCCTTAAAGACTCTCAATGTTGTAATTCAGCCAAGAAAGAGGAAGTTCTACATTAGAGCAGTACTAGTGGGATGTGGGTTGGGCAAGGGGTAGACAGCAGAAGCTTGAAGTTTTAGGAGGTGACACAGAAGAAGGGACTTGGAGACCAATTCAATGTGCTTGGTGACAGACAAGAGGAATCTGGGCTGGTTCCCAAGTGTTTGGATTTTTTTGAAGTCTCCTCTTTAACACAAATACCTAGCCCAATACTGAGTATTGCCTAGTAGTCTAGTCATTGCTATTCAAGGAAGATGCCTTAGGAAATAAGTCAAATGATACTTGCTTTTATAGTAAGGGTGAGCAACATCCTGCACCTGGATTGTCACAGTGTATTTATTGCCGGCTGCTAGATTACTTGGATTTTCATAATCTAGATCACCAATCAACTGAATTAAAACAGATATATCAGGTTACAAAGAAAAGCAATCTTTGCAATTCAACTGATGAAGACATTTTCATATCTGTTAGTAGACATGTAAACTGGAAAACTTTTCTGGAGAGCATTTTGACTGTATAAGGAGCTTTAAAAAGTTATGTCCATACCTTTGCTGACTCTGAGAATTTATTTGAAAGAATCTATGTTTAAAGATGTTTATCAAGCACTATTGCCAAACAGCATAGACTCAAGACTTCCAGTTAGTTGAAAAGAAGCGCAATATGGATCCAATATGCAGAGATAGTTCCATCATTTAAAGTACTTATGCATATATATAGAATATACATAAAATCTATATACAATGAAGAAGAGAGAAATATATCAAAATTTTAATAGTGGTTATCACTGAATGGTAATGCTTTTCTGTGTTTTCTATATTTCCTACAGTGAGCATGAACTAATTTTCTAATCAGAAAAAAATGAAAGATTATTTTTTAGCTGGCACTATGAGTAAAATTGGTAAGACTTTCTTGGGGATCTAAGAAGGGCTTGGGATGGGAGGTAGAGAAGGAGGTGGGTAGGAGGATGCCTCCTAGTGGGCTGCTCGCTCTTTTCCCTGAAGCTTTATCTCTGATGCAAAGACCCCTCAACAAGGACCATTGCCCTCCAACCTCTGCCCTCTGCCGTTCCATTTTTCCCTCCTCCTTACCAATACCCTCCAGTGGGAACCCCATAGGTAAAGGACTCATACAGCTCATTGAGACCTGCTGTTTATGCTCATCCTTCTTCCAATTCTGCTTTGCCTCTGTGGAGATGCTGCAGAGTGAGGTTACCTAAACAGCCTTGTTCTCTCATTTCCCTTTGGGTCTGCAGTGGTTCTCCAAGACTGAGTTTAGCATGACACACTCATGGCCCTGAACCTGCTTTCTCTTACTTCACACTTCCATGGGCCAGGAAGGAGCACTCAAATACACAAGAGTGCTGAGCTCAGAGGGCACTAATGTGACTATAGAGGCAGTTAAGCAGGCACAGCCAACTGCAGCTATACAAGAAAGAATTCAGTCCTTAGCACCCCAGGCATAACTACGCATAACAGACGATTCCCAGGACTTGGGCAAAATAAAGAGCAAATGGGGAAAACAGAATCACTATAAAGTTCGTCAGTCACAGCCACGCAGAGCGGGAGTTACCTTGGAAATTTCTCTCTCTGGGCCAGCAAAAGCACTATGCATGTTAGACCAGCTTCCCCCATGCCCTTCCAATGATGCAATGACCATTAACTGACCACAATTTTCCCAGAGCCAGCTGGATCCTGTAAAAATCTGCCACGGCTCCCCACTGCAGAGGGTGTGGTGAAGTTGAATTGGCTGTTTGGTGCTTCGCTGTCATCATCAAAGCAGACTGTGTTCAGGTCCAGAAGCAACGTCCTCTTGGCTGCTCTTTCAGGCACCATAATGCTGGCGAAGAGACATGATTCAATATTTTCATCAACAAATGGTGATGGAGTGTTCCTTCTGACACAGACCCTAGGCTAGACATCTCTGCTTTAATTTCAATTCAAAGCAAGTCCATGGTTATTGCAGTAACTGCCTAACTGGAGTCCAAGCTCTGCCCTGTCCTCCTCTCAGACTGTTCTTAACACACCAGCCAGAGGCACCCTATTAAAATGTTGTCAGGTCAGGTCACTCCTCTACTCCTAAATCTCAAGTGGCTCCTCATTTCACTCAAGTCCTCACTTTGACCTACGGGACCCTTGATGTGCACCACCACCCCTTGACCTTACTTGTCTGAACTTATCATCTACTAACACTTCTCCTTGTTCCCTCTACTCTTGCCCCTGGGCTCTTGAACACTCCCCAGACTCTGGCCTCAGGGCCATTCTACTTACTGTGGGATGCCCTTTCCACCAATGACCACATGGCTGCTTTTTTCACTTTCTTTAGTCTTGAATCCAATGCCACCTTCTCAGAAGGCTATCTGGCTACCCTATCTAAAATGTGAATGGCCCCTGCCCTTTGTTCCCTCTCCCATTCACCACTTTATTTTTTTTTTGTTTATTGTTATAATCTTTAATCCTCACATGAGGATATGTTTGTTGATTTTTTTTTGAGAGAGAGAAGCATCAGTTGGTTGCCACCTGTACATTCCCTGACCAGGGATTGAACCTGCAACCTCTTTGTGTACAGGGAAAATGCTCCAACAAACTGAGCCACCTGGCCAGTCCTCCCTCCTTTATTTTTAATTCTTGGCACTTATTATTTTCTAGTATACTATATAGCTTAACTATTTATCCTGTTTATCATCTTTTCCCCCACTAGATTGTAAGCTCTACAAGAGCAGAGATCTTTATCAGCTTTGTTCTGGACATGCTCAATTAATATTTGTTGAATGGCTGATTGGTAACTTAAGAGACTTGCACAGTAGTGAAAAATAGTATAAAGAAGAATATAAGAGAAATAAGTTCTTTTTCTGCCTATAGAAGTTTGTAATCTGGTTAGGGGAAACCCTTGCACCATCATCTTCCATACTTTGAAGATCGGGAATTCCTCCACTTGTGTTCTAATAGTTTAATGTCATAGAAAGGCCTCCTAATACCTTAGTATCATTCATTTAATAGAGGTTTATTAAGACCAAATTGGGGGGTCCCAGTCTCCAATGACTCCAGGGTCTGGGCAAACAGCATAAATGAGTACAGCTGTCCCCAAACTAGAGCTAACTGGTCAAGCCCAGCTCGGTATGGAAGACTGAGGAAGAGTAACATCTTGAGCCTCTAGTTCATTGAGAGACTATCATATTGTACTCCCATGTTTCAGTTTTTCCATCTATAAAATGGGCATAAATGATGTTATTTAGTTTTTGCTACATAACAAATCAGCTCAAAACTTAGTGGCTTAAAACAACAGACATTTATTATGTCTTAAAACATTAAGGGCTGTTCATTAGTTCTTTAGGTTCTAGTCCAGCTTGGCTGGTCGCTGTGGTCCCTGGCAGCTTGGCTGGGACTTGGTGGTCTAGGATGGCCTTGTTCACATGTCTGGTGGTAGGAAAGTGGTAGGTCTCTGTTTCTTGCTGTCTCTCATCCTCCAGGAGACTAGCTGAGGCTGTTCACGTGAACATTTCAGGTTTCCAAAAGTAGCAAAAGAGGACAAGTCCCAGTGCACATATATCTTTCAGGTCTCTGCTGTGCTACATTTGTGAATGTTCCAACAGCCAAAGCAATTGATGTGGTCAAGTACAGATTCAAGGAATAGAAAGAGAAACCCATCTCTTGATGGGAGGAATGGTGAAATCACACTATGCCAGGGAATACATACAGGCAGGGAGGAATTTGTGGCTGGTGTTTGGTTTGGGGGTTGTTTGTTTATTTGCCTGGGGTTTTTTCCTACCTATCTTCAATCATATTTTGCCTTGGGCAGAATTCCTTACAAAAGTGTATTGTGGCTACCCTGAGAATGTGCCTGGAAGACCTTCAGTCACAGGAACATAACTGACCACAAATCCCAGCTGCTATGATCTGAAATCCATTGCTATATTTGCAGTGAGGCCATGTGCCCATGACTGGGCGTGGCAGAGATATTAAAGCAGACTCACTCACATCCTATGACAGCTGACTTTGGCTCCAGGACTCCCCAGTGCCCTAGCCACACTTTCCATAGACTGCAGAGCCAGCTAGAATATTTCGGTTCAACCCTCCTCCCTCCCTCCCTTCCTCCCTCCCTCCCTCTTTCCTTCTCTCAGGTCAGACACTGTGGCCTGTGGACTCTCCCAGCCTTGTCTAGCTCTCTCATTTTCTTCTGTAGGCATTTTTCTTAATAAACACCTTCAACATTGAATTCTGTCTTGGTGTCCTGTTCTCACAGCACCCAGACTAACATGTGTTAAATTCTTTAATCCTCTGTACTATCACCTCTCTCTGCAACCAAATTATGCTCCCTTCTATATTTCACATCATCTCTTAATGGCAGCGAAAATGGGCTCTGGGCTCAGCAAATGTGTAGCAAAGTCTGACAGCAAGGAGGGTCTTAGGCTGCTAAGGATAACTGGGTTTGCTTCCTGGAAAGCACTTCTTCTGACAGGTGTAACTGACTCTCCATGATGCCTCACTGGCAAAGTTTGCCTTTGTGTTTCAGCAGGATTGGAGCCCAAACATTTCCATTCCTGTCTTGCATACACAATGTCATGGTTTTATTCATAAGCACTTAGAATATATGCCATTTATTAAACCCCGACCATATGCTGTATCATAGCAAGCATTTTAAAAATACTATCTCTAATTCCTTCATCTCCAAAAGGTTTGTATTCTGGCCCCCATTATATAGATGAAGAAAGAATGATTTAGAGTGGTTTCAAGACCTGTCCATGAAAGTTGATGCATACAGACACAATTCTCTATTGTCTGTGTTATAGTCACTGTAAATATTACTTCAAGTTCCATGAATCAGTGACTCTCCAGGCCCGCAGATGGTTTGGGAACCTGAGCTTTGATTCTAACTCTTCAGAGGCCAGGAGGTTGCATCATCCAAAGAATGCAGGGTCTGAAGCCAGAAGATTCAAGATTCATGCACTGCAGAAAGAGGCCTCCACACGCAGCCCCTCAGGGCTGCCTGGCATGTTCTTTTCATTCTTCTCTGACACTTGGTATTTTTTCTCCTAAACACTTGACTCAGAAAACCACTCCCCCTCATTCATCAAACCCTGCCTCAAAGGCAGGCTGCACCCACTCCCAGCCATCTGACCAGGTCTCCCTCCCCAGGCGAAGGTGACTGGCCCAGCAGCATTCTGAATCAGCCAACCTTCTCTGCCTATGGCTCACAGACAGCTTGTGAAGCACTTTCAGCCTGATAGTTTACAAGCAGAGCAGGGTAGGGATGGGGTGGGGAGGTGGGTGGCTGTCATGGGCCTTTGACGCCTCCATCAGGTCCCTGGGCTCATTCATCACCAGCCTGGGAAAAGCAGGGGCCTCGGCCCAAAGGCTGTTTCCATCTGGGCCCAGCCTGAGAGCCAAGACTCACAGGGCAGCAGGGGCCAGGCATGCAGCCCTGCCTCCTCCCACCCTCTTCTACTGATCTCCCAAACTCCAATGCAGGGATGCACCAAGAGCTCTGAAGGAGTAAATATTCAGGAACAAGTGCTGTTAGAGATGGTGGCAGCACCCAGTCTGCTGTTTGGTGTGCTTTTGACCTGCCTGTGTGCTTCAGCTCTGGCATGGTGGTAATGTGGAAAGTGGTAAGGTTGGAAGTATAGTGGGTGATGCAGAGTCAGGGTTTCCCAGCCCCTGGAGTATGCAAACAAGGCAGGGTTTTGGACTAAAGACCCTCACTTCCAGGACTGCAAGGGAAGGAGCCCTTTTGTTGTCCCTCCTCATATCTTGGCTTCGCGGGATGGCTCTGAGTTACTCTCACTGAAAAACTGAAGAGGGACTTGAACTCTATTTAGAGTTACCTTCAGTAATAAATGCAATTAGTCCACTTACTGTCTGGCATTGAACTTCAGGGCTAATTTGGAGAGAACATTATCAAGAGACGGACTCCGCATGGGCTTGCCTGGATGGTTTAGGATATTCAAAATGTGGTTTTACCATCCCATGTGGAGTGCAGTCTGCAGACTGTCATCCCACACATCAGGGAACTCCAGACTGCAGGAGCCACAGCACGGAACACAGCTGCACCAAGGGGAGAAAGCTGACGAGGCACGTGGGAGAGAACGCAGTTTCCCCAGTCACTGATACCCAGGGCTCTTACTCCTCAACCCCTATTTCCCACCTTGCAGGGCAGGGGAACTCAAGAAGAGCAGCAAGGCCTGGAAGAGGAGCATATGAGGAAAGGAATTTCCTAGGATGCACAGGAACCACCCAAGAAGCTAGCATAGATTTAGATTTTCAAAGAAAGCAGAAGTACTACTCTGCTGTCATCTTTATTACATCCACAGGGCCCAGGCTTCTCTGAACAGAAATGGGTATGATTTATGCATGTAAAGGTGTAGATGTGACAATGCTAACTATCCATGGCAAACTGTCCATCTCCACCCATCAAACAGACTCTGAGGTTAGGTTTGGGATAGGAACCTATCACATGGCAAAGGCTATTATTGACTAAGCAGATGACAAATTAGGATAATTCTAGAGTAGCTTTAGTCAAGGGATTATTATACACAGGGTATATGGAAATCTCAAGGGATGGTGCAGTATCTCCAAACTAGTAAGAATGGAGCTTCCTTACCATTTCTAGACCTGGAGGAGCCAGTGCAGGAACAGTTCCTGAAACTGGAACCTAGGGGTGATAGTACTGTCTGCCAAGTGCTGCCTTATAGAAACTGAGACCCTCAGGAGGTAGGGAGACTCTTCCAGGTGACAGGGAGGGAGTCGGGGGATAAATACCTTGACTTCACACCCCCACTTTCCACTGGCCAATCAGAAGCTGCAGGGTAAGGGAGCCAGTTGATAACCATACAGAACAGGGTAGGGAGTCTGGAGGCTGGATTTGAAGAGGTGATGAAATGTGTCCACAACAGGGTTTAACAGTTTTGATATCAGACTCAAGCCACACTTAACATTAGCATTACGATGGGAATGCCAATTGGGAGAACAGGGAGACATTCATCAGCATAATAAAGGAATTTATATTTCTATTGCTTGCCCTAGACAATCTCTGTCTAGGTCCTTTGTCCTTGCACAGCCATGCTATATATTATGTCTGTGTCCAATGTCACCGGGAGTTTAAAAAGTCAACTTGCAAAGCCAGTCAAGGATAAACTGATAAACTCGGGAGGCTGTCTCCATGTGGACATCTGAAAATGAGACCTACTCTGGTCTTCAGCCTAGCTCCAGGAGCAGCCACTTTCAGACTAGAGCTAGCTATTCTGAAACCACCGTGGAGATGAACCTAACCCAGGGAATTACTAATCTTGTGGCATTTAGACAACTATTTAGTAGAAAGATAGTACTGTTTTCTTTCTTTTTTTTTAGAAGACTATTTGGATCAACTTATGCTGTAACATAGAGTTTCTTTTTTTTTTATTTTAATTCTCAGCATTCATTGATTTTTAGAGATGGGTGGGGGAGAGAAGCATCGATTGGCTGCCTCCTGTATATGCCGCAACTGGGGATTGAACCCACAACCTAGGTATGTGCCCTGGCAGGGAATTGAGCAGGTGAACTTTCAGTGCAAGAGACAATGCTCCAACCAACTGAGCCACCCAGCCAGGGCAACAGTACTGTTTTCAAAAAGGCATATTAACCCACAATAACAAGGGACTTTATTTTAAAATAATGATGAACAGATTGTGAGGCAAACAACAGATCAAAATACACAAAATAACTTGCATCCCTCTTATATCTGCATTTCCCCCTTTCTATTGCCTTTTGTTTACATGCAACTGAGCTGTGTAAAGTGAATTACATGTTTTGTTTTGTTTTGTTTTGTTTTAAGTAAATACTTAGTTCAATTTACTCACATTACTGGTGATGTGTTTCTCTAGGAGCTCCTAGTTACTAATTCTAAGTCTCAACTATCTATTTTAACTGCTAACTAACAGCACCATCTTGCCATGAGTAGCAATAAATAAAGGAAAGGCACAGCCCAGAGATGGTCTAACAAGTCCCCATGGTACTTTTCACCAAAAGAGATGAACATGTTGTAGAAGAGAACAAAATAAAAATAGTTTTTAATCAAGTAAGAAAGTGAAGAAGGGAGACAATGAGGAGGAAAGAAAATGAAAGAGAGGCAAGAAAAAGGATACTGAAAGGAAAACCTAACAACTAAATTGAACGATTCAAATCTACTTATTTTCGTGAGCTATGTCCCAATGCCCATAATTCTTCAGCTTCACCTGAGGATAACCAGCGAGGCCAAAGCACTGAGGACCACTGAGGAGGCTTCCTCACAGGTCTCAGGATGTGAATACCTGAAGGTGAACTTGGTGCAAGTAGCAGGGTTGTCATTAATGTCTTCCACCAGGAAGGTTATCTGCATGCGATTTTCCTGACCCCCAAAAGGTCTGTCCTTCACCAGAACTTCCAGAGAAATGACAGGATTCTGTCTTAATTCACCTGCATCTCGGTCTAGCCTGCGGGCCACTTGGATGGTACCAGTCACTAGGAAAGCAAAGGTTAGAACATGACTTTTTGGAGAGAAATGAAGAGTACAGGCAGATGGAGACTTGTAGTAAACTGAAAAAAACATTCTGATATTAGAACTGGCTTACACAGTGAATATCCTCATACAAACACATTTTTCAAAACTCATGTTTAAGTTCCTGTATTAGGCATTAATTGGGGTATCTGACCCTTCTAGTATTTTCTGCCCTCAGAAAATTAATTGGGCTCTTAGCAGCAGCATTTGCCCATAGTTGAGTGACTGGTAGGCAGGCAACTCCAGCCTGACCCCCTGGTTCCCTTACTGGAAAACCTGTAGCTGAGAGACATAAACTGGGTAACCAATCAGGTTAGCAGTAGAGCTTCAAGTAAGAGGCCAGAACTCTAGCTGCTGAGGTCACTGCAGCCTGGCTGGTTCCCATCCTCTCCAGGTCCTGACTGCCCCACTCTTGCTCATGAGATACCTGGTATCCTATTGATAAGTGCCCCTATTTTTATTTTTCCCTCTTGCTTGGCTTGACTTGCCTTAATTTCTGTTACCTGTGACCAAAGAGTCTTAAATATGTTCCCCTCAAAACTCTGTATTTGTTAAAAGTTCAATTATGCCATAGTAGAGTGAACAGAATTTAAACCACGGTTGTTTGTCCCTGTAGTGTCGGTTGAGTGGGTCTGTGATGACAGCGCATTAGGAAGTTTCGGGAGGTAGAGCACAAGTATCGCCTTTGCCTGTCTCTTCAGGGGCGGGTATCCTTCGCCCTAAAGCCTATGGGGCAAATAATACATTGTCTTTCTGGGATTGTTTAATGCTGGCCTCCACAAAACCATTATGTAAAGAGAAGCCTTTCTCTGGTGATGTGATAAGAACTTAGGTGACACAGCCTGGGGTGGTGAAGAGGGTAAGAGCTGGAGTGGGGCAGCTGCAGTTTGTCTCTTGTACTCACAACCTACGAGCTCTGAGACCTTGGACAAGTTGCTTAAGCTGAGTCTCTCTCTAAGCCTCAGTTTCCTCATCTGTCAAATGCAGATTATGATAGTTCCTTGGGTTGCCATGCTGAGTACCTGAGATGGAGTGCATTGTGGACCACTCAGCATAGAGCCTGCTATGTACTAAGACCCTAATAAAAGATGGATATTGTAGGAAAAAGAAAGTCTCCTTCTCTGCACTGGGGTACTTAGATGGGAAGATAATACCCAGCAACACAGCAAATTGATCTAGATCAGCGTGGTCCAATACTGTAACCACTAGTCACATTTTGGTTAGCACTTCAAATGTGGCTAGTTCAAACTGAGATTTGCAGTAAATATAAAACACACAACAAACTTCAAAAACTTGGTACAAAAAAACAATAATATAAAATATTTCGTTCGTAACTTTAAGTATTAACTACATGTTAAAATGATATTTGGATCTGTTAGGTTAGCTAAAATGCCTTTAAAATTAATTTCACTTTTTTTTTTACTTTTTTAAAATGCGGCTACTAGCCCTGACTGGTGTGGTTCAGTGGGTTGGACATTGTTCTGCAAACCAAAAGGTCACCAGTTTGATTCCCAGTCAGGGCACAAGCCTGGGTTGCAAGCCAAGTCCCTATCATAACTATGCGATAGGCAACTGATCAATATCTCTCTAGCACATTGATTCTTCTCTCCCTGTCTTTCTCCCTCCCTTCCCCTCTCTCTAAAAATAAATAAAATCTTTTTAAAAAATGGGGACACTAGAGACTTTAAAATGACTTGTGCAGCTTCTATTTTATTTCTATTGGACAACGCTGGTTTAGACCCTGTCTCCAGAACACTTAAAAGTACCTTCAGGATAATGAACTCACCCATCCTTACATAAGAACCTGCCTTAACAGTGAAACGGTGATACATCTGTTGATATATTTAGTTTCCCCAAACCCCACACCAGCTTATTTTAATATGCTTATAACCCCGTTCAATAATGATATTCTAGAAAGGCATTCCCAGATCAGAAGACACATAAAATATTTGAAAAACTATCCAAATGGATGGCTAAATTAAAGGGTGCACATAGATGATGTGAGTGTGAGTGACTTACACTGATTTATCATGAAATAGCTGTTGAGAGTAGTGATGCTGTAGAGGAGGAAACTGGTAAAGCCAGGATCATCAGGGTCCTCAGCTGTGATATTGGCCACGACGGTTCCTGGAGCCAGCTCCTCCAGAATCACATACTCTCGCGATAGACTGGAACAGAAATACGGCAGACATAGCTCATTTTTAGGGGCACAGGAGGGTGGAGTCTGGGAGGTGGGTATTTTTGTTAAAGCTAAATATAACTCTGAGCTGTTGAAGTTGCATCAACAAGCTCAGAGGGAGAACTCAGCAGCTGAAAGGACAGGAGACTGGCTTTTGTATTTCCAAAGATCATATCCCTGTAGATGCAAAGAAAGCACCGTGCTGTTACTGCAGTGATTTCATCGGTCACGGTCTCTGACTTCACCCACACCTGATGCCATTTCAGATCAGCATTAACTTAAAAAAAAATTGATAGTTCGTCTGTCCAGCCATCTTCTCTCTTTCCCCCAATTCTTGTGCAAAGTCCTCTGAATGATTTTTAAAATCCATCTGAATATAATGTCCAGAACTAGATTCCTGGCTCCCATCACATGGCAGCCACCAAAAGTCAGATAAATTGTAAACCCTCTTTATTCTAGGGTCTCTGCTCAGTTTTTATTTCTTCCTTGCCCTTTTTTCCCTTTGCTTTAGGAGGCAGAATTTATACACAGAACTTGTGTATCTTCCCAAGTAGCATTAATCATGAGGTCAGCTCTCTGAATGAAGAAATGAAACCCTTGGCAGAAGCCAAGGCCAGAATCCTGCCCTCCAAGGATGGCTTCTGCCAAATAGCTTCAAATTGCCAATTTACCCATTTTCCTCAGACCTCCGCTGCCTTTGGAAAAGGCTCATAATAAGACAGATAGGTTTGAAGTTTTAACTACACAACTTGGGTAAATTGAATAATTCTGAATGCACCAAGGGAGGCTTATTGTTTAAAATAACTCCGCAGGAAGTCCTTTTGCTGAGGGAAAATCGTTTCAGTGGGGCAAACAGTCACCTCTAATTTGCCAGTTTCCTAACTGTGGCTTTACCCACGTGGGATCTTCTTTAAGAGGGAAGACTACACCTCAGATCTAAATGATGACATTTATTTCCCCAGCTCAGAATATTTCTGCAGGTTTGTCTCATCATCCCTGGAGGGCAGGTGAGGCCAGGGGGAGGAAAAAGAAGGGAACTCCAGCTAGAGTCAGAGGCAGGCAAAGAAAGGCCGGGCCCAGGCTCTCCCCAGCCAGGGCTCCTCCCTGCACCCTGGGCCTACCCCGACTCACGAAGTGACCTCCTGTCAGCGCATTCCCTTGTTGGGAAACAGTCATCTTGTTCAGATCAAGAAGCCACCCTGGTGCTCTGGACTTCTCCCCACCCAGTGTCCCACTGAAGCAGCCTATTAATCCATTTACTTACCTCGCACACCCCCTTCTCAGGGGATTGGTGCTGTGTGCCCACTGCTGGGTTCAGGATTAGAGAAGTGGGGGGGGGGGCAAGAATGCAGAGTGGCAGGAACCAATCCAGAGCCAGAGGAGAGAGGGGGCGGCCCGGCTCCTAAGGCTGCACAAAGCTCTTATGTCCATCACCTGAGAGCCCCTGTTTCTAACCTGTTATATTTTTTTCTTTGATTACAAAGGGATCACTAACACAACTGTGCCACCATCACAGCCTGGCCCCTGCTACTCCAATAATGGTCCCTGCATGTCTAACAGTCTCCCTGTGGGTACAGGCCTCGGCCCATGCCAACACATGAAGTCAGAATCTGCATTTTCATAAATGTCCAGGGACTGATATGCACTTTAAAGTGTGCAGCACTACTACAAGGAGTCTCCAGCAGTGATAAGCACAGACCCCCAGACTCTCGTAGGACACACCCAGAACACCTTGGGAGAATCCCCTCCCTCCCACCATCTCTCCTTCCCTAAGGCAGTGGTTCCCACAGGGGTGATTATCTCAGCTGTCATACTAGGGGAGGAGGCTGCTATTGGCATATCAGGAGTAGAGGCCAGGGATGCTGCTAAACATCTCACAAGTCACAGGACAGCCCCCCCCCCCCATCACAATGAAGGAGCACAGCCATTTAAGACATCCTCTCCTGCAGGTGCGTCTCGTCTGTGCTGGAGGCCCCAGGAAATCGGGTCCCTGTGAAGGGGACTGGTCAGGCTATTGGTGATGGCACAGCTCCTCAGGCAAAAACATTCTCCCCTTGGCTGATCTGACACTGAGCCTGGCAGAATAGAAAATCTTTGTTTATTTGGTTTGGTGATCCAAGACCCAAGTATGAATAAAATATCATTTATTGTAAAGATGTTACCCTTAGACCACAGTTAAGATCCATTCAAAGCACAGTGGAACCAGGAGACTTGCAGCCTCCCCAAAAGCTAAGGCTCTGATACCAGTTACATTGCTGCACCTTTTTCTCATAACATAGGATTTTCAGAGCCTGAACAATGGATAGACAAGGGCCATTGGCCACACTCATGGGGAAAGGGGTGACTTCTAGGTGACTGTGATGGCTTCATCACTATGAATAAATATTCAGTAAGTGCAAAAAGTGTGCCCACACTGCCAGGCACCAGGCTGAAAGGACTGTGAGTAAATACAACAGAAATGGGCAGAAGGGGAGGAACAGTGTTCTGCAAAAATAGCAAGCATTGTGCTTGCCATGTAGAGAGTAAATACAAGTGCAGTACTTTTATAATCAAGTGTTCAACTTGAATAATAGCAGAATCCTAGAGTGCACTCATGAGTCCATAAAGCATTCAGATGTTTGTCACCACCCAGAGATAAAATGGTGAGACACTTTTCAACAACAGATATAGTACTTACTTTGGTTGTAGTAATTGTAGAACCTTAACAAACAGTAAAGATAGAAGAGTTGTTTTCACATTTTATATATTTATTTCACTCAAATTCAGTGTACTTGACTCAGTTTAAGGATTTAATTTTGTTAATACTGAAAAGCAATTTATGGTTAGTCCTGGACTGATTTGAGGAGAAGAAGGGTCATGGTTGAACCGCGAAAGCCTTCAAAGTCAGCACCTTGTTTGAAAATAAGCAAACTCTTTCAAATCGTGGGTGGCTGAGGGTTGAGGCTGGCTGTGACTGAGCAGCCTGAGCAATGTCAGGGGAACCATGCTTCCCCATCTTCCTTCTAGAACACAGGCTCTCACAGACCCATTCCTACCAATATCCATGGAACACTATAAAATGGTTAGATGGCCACGTAGGCCATGCTCACTGTCTGGGATAGAGCCTAACAGATTCATCTCTCAAACCAAAAGTGAAAACCAGAGTTCCAGACTGATTTCTGGGGACTCAACAACCAGCCACAGTCATGTTGTCTTTCTGCTGAGGTCAACTGCTTTATTTTGGAAGACAGAGTCCAAACCAGATGGTTTACAAGTTCTGCCCCTTTGCAACCCCATTAGCTTACTTCCCCACCTCACAGTATGGGAGCGTAGGAAGGGCTACTGAATGCGTCAGCTTCAGCCCCATAGCCATCACCTTCCTCTGGGGGTTATGGGTGAATCCTCAGAGCTGTGTGGGCCAATGGTTGAGTCTAAATCCAGGCTGGGATGTCATAACTATTTATAAACTGCCTGCACTGTGCTCCTGAAGGAACCCAGCAGAAATGCACTGCATCATGCCTTTGAGCTTACCGAGGCAACAGACATCAATGGGAAACATTATGTAGGAGTATATCTGCTACTGTTCCCTCCACATCAACCCCCAGCAACTGGGCTGTAGGCTATGTTAAAATCCAGAAGTTTCACAGGTGTAGTTAGTGTGTTTTGCCAAAAGGCACCAGGGTAGCTTGAGAATAGGGTGGCCTTGTACCTCCCAATTTCAGAATATTTTTGCAAGCATTCTGCATAGTTCTGGGCCCCATGGCTTTTTGTTGGGTGTCTTCTAAGCTGAATTTATTCACAGCTATTAATGCAGTTAACCCGAAGCAGGTAATTTTGTCAGTTCCATTGTGACTGGCCTCTGAGTTCTCCTTAGCGACTGGGGCAGGCAGAGTCTTATACAGTAAGACAAGCTGTTTGCTGGGTCATGTGCTATCTCAGAATCCCAGCTTCCACTCCTAAATCCTTATCTATGACAAGTTCGGGTCTCCTCTTTCTGCCTGAGCTGGTCCCGGACACATTCCCATTGGCTGCCTCTTCCAAATTCACTTACCCTTCCTCATCTCTGGTGGATGTAGGAGCTTCCAGACAGCCAGGTCTCTTCACTGGATCCACCATAGGAGGAAGCAACTCAGAGCACCCAGCAGCGGGCAGGCCCCTGAGGCACCATCGAAATAGCCCTCTCCTCGCTCGGAGAGGGTAACGCTCTATGAGTGGGCTTTATGGAGTCCTGACTGATGATGTAGGCTCCAGGATTATGCTATTATTAGAGTTGAGCACTCTATTATAAAAGTACCTGCCTCATACAGTAGTCTCACCCTATTTGCAGGGAATACAGTCTAAGACCCCCCACGGATAGTTTCAAACCCTGTATATCCCATGCTTTTCCTATACATAAATAATTATGATAAAGTATAACTTATAAATGAGGCAATTTCACAGATAAAGGATTTGTTCCTACTGTAGATATTATATTGGTTCCTACCACAGCATATGATTGTTTTTCTTTCCTTTTTAAATCAAGAACTTTGACCTTTTTACTTAAAGGAAGCGCGTTATGGCTTCTCTTTGACATATCCGAATTGCCAGCATCACTACCCTTGTGCTTTGGGGCCCTTATTAAGTAAAATAATAGTTACTTGAACACAAGCACTGAGATACCATGACAGTTTATCTCAGTGATTTTCAACATTATTCATCTCATGGAAAAATTCTGGGGCACATCAAGAATGTATTTTTTGCCAATCTGACAAAAAAAAATAGATATAACATTGATTCATTCACACCAGATGGCTACTGCCGTGTTGGCTGTTGTCATTTTTTTATTTGACAGTCTAAGGGAAAAGAGGTCAGTGCCTCTGATTAAATAGTCAAGTATTGCATGTTTTAAAAATTCTTGTAGTACATCGGTTGAAAATCATTGGTCTCTCTGATAAGACAGACAGCTACTAAGTGACTAAGGGGGTGGGGAGATCATGTACAGCATGGATAAGCAGGACAAAGGGATGATTCATGTGCCAGGTGGGATGGAGCAGACATGAGATTTCATCACGTTACTCAGAACTGTCTGCAATTGAAATGTATGAATTGTTTATTTCTGGAATTTTCCATTTAATATTTTCAGTCTGCAGTTGACCCCAGGTAACTGAAACCACGAAAAGCCAAACAGTGGATAAGAGGGGACTACTATATTTACATTGCCCATTAGCCCAGTGGCAAGCCACTCACCAGGGGCATCGTGTCTGCCCCTTTCTACCATACCCACAATCCAGTGGTGCATATGAACATGGGGGTACAGAGACAGAGGGAGCAAAGGTGGAAGATGGAAGTCCAAAGGCCCAGGCAAAGGACACTGAAGATCTTAGGCCTCATCCCTTCTCCAGGCCAGAGAAGGACACTGCTCTTTCTTGTATTAAATTTGTCTGAGAAGGCTCCAGGAAGCTCTTCCACCTGAGAGAGATGTGCCTATGGCCCATGGAGCCTGACTGCCCCCAGGCCTACCTGGTAAAGCGAGGAAGTTCATCGTTGATGTTCACAATGTTCACCTGCAGCGATGTGGCGGCTCTGAGCCCTTGGCTATCTCTCACTTCCACAACGAGATGGTAGCTGTCAAGGGAACATCCTAGGTGAGGGAATCAAGCTTTGCCAACACCACCTCAAAATGAGGTGGGAAAAATGGGGTGGTAGGAGGGAGGAAAGAGCCTGTTCGCTTTCTGCAACCTGCTCCAGATGCTCCTGCAGAGTCAGACCTGTTGTGCCCATCCTTCTTTCCCTGCCTCTAAAACCCCACTCTTGCATTTCTTGTCCTGCAGTTATCATTCGCAGCCATCACCACACCAAGTGGCTGCTTGTGCCACCAAGTTGCACACTCTGTCTCCATTGTTCCTCACAACATCTCTGCAAAGTGTGGATTATACCCATGAGAGGAAACCGAGGCTCCCATGGACTGAGTAACTAGCCCTTGTTCTCACATCCCATGCAGAGTCAAGAGCCAAACCTGGGTTGACCCCAAGTCCTGTGTGTTTTCATCCTCAAACCCTGGCCCCCCCCCTACCTCTTTTCTCAGAGGCCTGCTCACCTCTACCCTGCTGCTTTCATTTTAGCAAATAGCTCTGGCAGCTGCTTCTCCCAAGCCAGCAGGGCATCTGAGGCAATCCTCCTGATACTTGCAGTGCCCTCTCACACACCTTCATCCTTATTATTGGCAGAGGAAGATTCTGAATGGGGAAGGAGGCCTTCCAGATTCCCACCTTATTCCCTTCAGGGCTCACTGCCCTCTGATCCTGGTGGAAAGGCAGCAAACTGCTCAGGGCCTCCCCAGCTTCCTCAGGCTGCTCTATGCTCCTTGACCCTCAGATAAAGGAACTCCAAGCAAGGTCACTGGCAAAGGCTACCTGTTATGTCCTTCCTCAAAGTCAAATTCTGTTGTGGAGAAGAGGGTCCCATTCGCAGACATTCTGAAGCTGTCTGAGGAAGAAATCAGGAAATACTAAAAGACAAGGGAAAAAAAGAATTTAAGCACACTTACGCATCTTTCTCCAGAAGACAAGTCTATTCAGTTCTCATTTTATATATTTGGCCCATAGGACATTCTTGATGCATCAGGATAATGTTCAAATTGGCAGTTCTCAGACTTAATGGTCTTGAATCAAGACACTTCCAGATCTCTTGGTCTGAGCCTCTGACCCTGATTTGCCACACCCTGAGAAACTGGTCACTGGATCCTGCTTAAATTACAGAATGCATATGAAACGCTCCCTGTCTAGGCATTCTGCTTCTGAGTCCAGTCTTCTCATCCCTGTCACTGCACTCTCACTTCTGCTTCTCAAGACTGCTGCTGGCTTTAGCCAACATTATTTAAGCACAGCTGCCATGCATTAGATAATAGGACAATACTGAAGTGAAGAAAATCTGGTCTTTACCCTTAACCAAACTTAGGATGTAGTGGGGGGTGCAAAAATGTTCATAAGCATCATTCATTGAAATGAAGGAAGGGCAACAGGAAGGAGAGAGAATGAAACTTAACAGAGTCCAAGTTTGAAGCTGGTTTGGGAGACAGAGAAGAGCTGTTTAAAATCCGATCAAGAGTTGTAGCCATTGGTCAAGTCTCCCCATGTCTGAGGGACTTGAGAGTCTTCGTCCTCCGTGGCTTCCAGTGGCCAGACCAGCTCTCTAATGACCCTCTGTGCAGGACCTCTTGCTCTGACAGAAACATAGGCTTATTTGCCTAGCCCACAAAGAGCCAGCCCATAGGAGGACCACCCCTGTGCTCTCTACAGTGCTCATCAAGATAGAGTCCTTGCTCCTAAGATAGAGTCAACCATGGAGGGAAAGGACCAGGATCAGAATCCAAGTTCTGACTGGGACAAGTCTCTTCTTTGCCTGTAATTTAGGGATGATGCCACTATCTCCTCATTTGTGTTATGGTGAGGATTAAATCCCAATGCAAGCTGTAAAATGGGAAGGGCCACAGGCACACTTGAGGCTCACATGTATATATTCATTTGCTCGCATTAAAGTTAGAAGTTTCCATTATTTCCTACAAGGATGAAGGATGATTTCTCCTCCAGGCCTTAAATCTCCGAAGATCATCAGTGGAGGTTTTGCAACCACAGCCATGACCCCTGAAGTCTAGAATCACAGGAAACACCAGCCAAGGATTCCAACCCAGAGATTTGATGTTGTCATTGCAGCTGAGCTCCCCACAGGAGGAGAGAGGATGCACAGAAAAGATATTAAAGGTCTCCTTCAGGGCCAATATAATGTCTTTAAACCATTTTTTAAAGTGTTTACTTTCCTTTTACTATTTAATAACATTTTCCTAGTTGTAATGAACATATATTTTACACAAAAATTGGGAAAGCCAGAAAAGTATAAAAAAGTAACTCAATTATAGTCACCTGTAACAGCTCATTATTTTCATGGATAACCTTCTGTTCTTTTCTATGCAAGCATACACCCTCCCAAAAATTGGGATGATGTTCTAATCAAAATTATAATATCTTGTGCTTTTCACTTAGCTTGAACATTTTGAACATAGTCTTAAACCTTAGTTTACAGGCTGGCTGGTTAATGATAGCACAGCATTCTACTGTAGGGGGTATTTTACTAAGTCTTTCTTGCTGGTCACTTAGGGGGTCCTTACCCACTTTTGAGAGGAAATATTTGGGCAATACCAAGGAATGCCCTCCTTCCAGCCCCCTCCGCCAAATTGCATAAGCACATTGGCAGTGCTCAGAGGAGTGATGTTTAAATACCAAGCCCCCACCAACTCTGCAGCTCACAGCCTGGTCAGCAATGGTCTAGACTTGAAGCTGCCTGCACACAGAGCAGCTCCATGTGTTTGAGCAGAACCTTCCCTACAGAGAATTCTCACACTGGGTGTGATACGATGGTTTATAGACCCAAGGGAGGGCATTTACCACATGCACCTAACTGGGAATGTGGTTCGAAATGCTGTAGGACATAGGTCCCCAGTTCTGGATGGTCCCCAACAGTGCAAGTCCTGGGGTACAGGGATGACAGTCAGACCCTGCTCTCCAAAAGTTTATGGTCAGCTAAGGGAACATACGAAGATGATGTGGGAGAGGTACTCCAGAAGAGATAAACAGAATGCGATGGGAAGAGAGAAGGAAGACTCTTAGACACATCTGGGATGTAAGAGGCACGAGTTGGGGCCGTGGAGTTAAGTTCAGTGGCTTAGGAGCTAGACTGCTGAATCTGAATCCCAGTTCTACCACTTTTCAGCTGTGAAAGCTTGTGCAACAAAGAGTAATAAAATAGGGCATTCCCCAGGGGGTGATAGCATAAAGTTCTAGAACAGTGCCTGGTACGTGGTAAGCCCTCAATATATGTTAACTTTGCTACCCAGTTAGAATGTCAGATCCATGAAGGAAAGGCTTCATTTTATTCACTGCTATAGCCCTAGTGCCCAACACATACGTTTTTGTTAAATGTTAAATTTTGGGGTTTTCTTCTTGCCTATTTCCCATCTGACACTACCATTCCCACCTTAAAGACTCTTAAAATCTTTTTTTTAAAAAAAGCTTTGAAAATACAACCACAAAAATCTTGCCAAACTTCTTTAAAAAACTGTTTGAATTTGGAAATGCCTGGCTTCATTATGAAATCTTCTGGGGTTCTGTCTATGGTCTGAGAAACGACCAAAGCAGCAGCAGCAGCAGCAGATGGAAAGGGTGAAACTGTAGAACCAGGAACATGGGAAGTTTCTTCTTAATTTTTATTAAAAGCCTGATTTCCTGGAATCCTGGTATCTTTTTTCTATTAGCACCAGGCTAATTTCCTTTATTCCTGAACCTATGAGCTTGTGTTAATGGGAATAGCAGTTTTGTACTTAAAAAGGAGATAATATCCATTGACTAAAAATATTGTGTCATGTGGCCATTTGCCAGCAACTCAAAAACCTTTCTGTAAAACCTGGCATTCTTTCCCCTTTTTAAAGGCTTGTTTAATCAAAGCTACTCCTTTGATATTCATTCTTGGAAAACAGAAATTAAGTAGAATGAAAAGCAACTGCAGCCCCTCTCTGCTCCAATACTGGCTAAGAAAAGTCCTGAGTAATCAGATCAATTCGGTTAACAAATGCTTGTCAGACAAGCTCTGCAGTTTCCCCGCTGGGAATATTCCTTTACCACCACCCCAGGTTTCTCCATTTGCAGCCCCTTGGCAGCTGTGGTTTGCTCACCGACACAAAAGCTTCAGTGTGGAAGACGAGGAGCCGTGCTTCCTGCCCCATTCACCCTTTATGGTGCCATTGGTTTAGGGAGAAAGGAGGGTGAGAAGGAGCTGGCCCAGTTTCCTGAAATGTCAGGCTCCCTGGAGAGGGCACGCCACCTCCGGGCTGGCTCCCCCACTGCAGTTGGAGTCACAGGCAAATAATGAGTCGACCTGTGCCCGTTTGCAGCCATAAGTTGCTTTCAGGCCTGAGATGGAACTGAACAAGAATTCATCCTCCTGTCTCCTAAGAACAGAGCACCCAACTTCCAGGGCCCAAGTCTCCATAGGGAAGGAAGGACCCTTATTCCTCCCAAGTTCGGGCAGTGCCAATGACTTTGTGAGCCACTGAGAACAGACCCCGAGACCCACCAGAGGAAAAACATCACAGGGCACCACCTTCCAACAGAGCTGTCATAATTTATAAATGTGATGCCACAGTCCTATCATATTTTTCATTGTAAGCTGAATATTTTATAAAAGCCTCAGTTCCTCTCTTTTCCTCTTTTCCCACCCTTATCCCAGCTCAGAGGTGGGAGGTGGATCCAGGAGTGGGAGGGAAGGGTGTTTAGAAGAAAAAAATTACTATTAAAAAACAAAAAACTTACATCAAGCTTTTAACTTGGCCTATTCATGTTATATTGTTATGAAGATAAGTGAAGTGGGTTATAGGTGAGTATTTGAATGTTCTTCTAAGAGAACTGCATTTATAAATGCAAAATACTATAGATAACAATCCTTTACTGATAAAGCTGCAGAATCTATTCTCTCATTTGTCATTCTTTTTTTTAATAATCAGCCTGGGTCTTGGTCTTTGATTTAGGCTTCACTAATCCTTTTTTTTTTTTTTTTTTAATCCTCACCTGAAGACATTTTTCTTTCCCATTGCTTTTAGAGAAAGGAAAGGAGATCACTTCTTGGCCTTTTGGCTAAGATCAAGTGTAGGAAGGGAGAGAGGGAGTGGGAGAGAGCAAAATACCTATGTGACAGAGAAACATAGATTGGTTGCCTCCCGTAGGTGCCCGGACCAGGGATCGAACACACAATCTAGGCATGTGCCCTGATAGGGGAATCGAACCTGCAACCTTTCGGGTATGGAACAACGCTCCAATGAACCGAGCCACACCAGCCAGGGCAAGACTTCACTAATCTTAAGGACAACGTTCCCCATCTATTCAAAAAGTGTCTTTCCCAAAGTGTAAACAGTCATCAGTGGTGATGTATTTGGAGTGGGAGTTGTCCTTTCTTGAGCATTTTAACAACAACCTGGAGCAGAGTGCATCTTGCAAAGACTTCAGTGGTGGCTCCCAAATAACAGATAGATGCCAGGGGGGTGTTGAATGCGTGGTATGTATCTGTATGTGCGGGTGGGGCGGGGGAGTGGAAGTGTGTGAGGAACAGGAAGGGTGTGCTGTCACTCAGGAAAGAGAGGGGTGGACACCAAAGACAAAATTTGCCAGAACACAGGAGGAGGGGATGAGCAGGAGTTGGGGCAGAGAACTCAGTTCTCACTAGAGTTACCTGACCCAGGTGAGAGCCTCACTTCCCTTCCTCATCCAGAAATAAGGAGTGCTCAATGGGTCTGAAAAGTTCCATCGCATGACGATTACTTTACATTCAAGAACATTAAAAGACACAGCCAGATGCCACTTCTCAGAGCCATGAGCAAGATGGAGGTGGAGAGAGAATTACTTTCCCTGCTGTCCTCCTGGTAGCCCAGCTACTAGCAAGGTTATTGCTCTTTTAATTTAATCC